CCCAGAGACTGCCATCGGGCACTCTAAGATCAGCGTCTGGAGACCAGGCATTAGCCCATCCCAAGATCAGAAGCTTCTTCATGAGCGACAGCATTAACAATGCAAAGAGCTTGCAAGGGAGACAGAAGAATGTGACATCCCCAACGGGGTTGTGCCCCATGTCTGGGAGAGACGTCACCTGAACTGAACTGAACTGGAGGAGAAGTGGCACGCCAACAGCTAGAGGAGACCTGAAGGTCCTTACTTGCACTTGAATTCCTCCACCAGTTGGCTGGTGGCACATTCCTCGCTGCCCAGCTTCTGCTTCTCGCAGAGCAAGCAGTCCAGGCGCTTCCGCAGGTCACAGATGTAGTTTTCGAAGTAGAGTTCAAGGTTCTTCCCTTTCTTTGGGAGGACGTACTGCTGCAGGAGGCCCCACTTGGTCTCCAGCACTTTGTTCTGCTGCTCCAGAAATCGCACCTGCAGGCCAAAAAATAGCAATTCTTCCAATAAAAAGAGATGAACGTGGTGAGTTGACACCTGGGTTGACTGTCTGCTCTCACCTAAGAATAGGACTTTCGGGAAGTGACAGGCGGTATGCCACTATGATCGTAAAATTATCTGCCCTTATCTAGAAATCTAAAATTCATGGGTCTAAATTATTTGGAAATCTGGAAGTCATGGGTCACAATTATTTGAAAATCTGAAAGTCACACATCTAGATTATTTGGAAATCTGAAAGTCACACGTCTAAATCTGCCTTTCTCACCAATGAATAGAAACAAAGCTCCTCTGGATGGTCCAGCTGATGCTTTTTAGGATGAGATTGAGTCCCCAGAGGGTGGAACCTGTTTGTCTCACTTTTATCTCCAGAGGGTAACAGCTCAGACTTATCCTGAATCAAGACTGACCTCTTTTGCCTTCAGGAATGTTTTTGGAACAGTCACTATATTTAAAGTCAAATGGGGGGGAAATGGTCTAATACAAGGCAGAAAGATAAGCCTGTCAGGGCTCTAACTTCTAACTGGGCTAGAACAAGGCTGCAAGGAGAAATCCAGCCTTGACCTGAAGCCGTCCAAGGTGGAAACACCCGCAAGAAAGTCCAGAGCTCTGGTTGCCACGATACAAACACTGGCAAATACTAGGAGGGGTATGTGGTCCTTCCCCAGTAACGAAGACCCCAGTCTGGACCAACCTGGCTCTGTGGGGACCTGGACCCTTGCGCGGACCCAGGTCAGGGATTCATGGACTGGGGTTTGGGAGGGGTTTGGTTGTGTTTTAATTTTTCTGCAAGAAGTGCAAGAACGGGGCAGGTCCGCACTCACCTTGTCGATGAAGCAGGCAAACTGGGTGTTGAGGGTCTTGATCTGTTCCTTCTCCTGGCAGCGTATCTCGTGTTCCAGCGGGTCCACCCCAACGCAGAGGGGCTTCAGCAGCCGCTCGTCGATGCAGATCCCTTGGATGCCATCCGCCTTGCGGTCGGGGTAACCCCTCACGATGCTATATCCCCGGGGGCCACAAAGGCCAACCCTTCCTCCAACGCTACCATAGCCTACGCCGCCAAAACCGAATTCCCCAAAACATCCGGTACCGCAGACCCCGTTGACGTAGGAAATCCGCCTGTTTCCACCCAAATTGCAGACGCTCCTGCTGCTGTAGGCACCAGCTCCGCATCGGCCGGGCGGGCAGGCGGAGGCGGCGTAGCTTCGCCCACAAATCTCCGAAGCTGAACTGAAGCCTCTTCGTCCCAGGACAGACCTCACCGTGGGCGCCTGCCTGCTCATCGCGGCCGAGTGGAAGGTGGGATGTGGGAGTTGAAAGGGGGAAAGCTCTTCCGCAGGAGAGGAGCAGAGATCCCGCTGAAGTGCCACAGGGATGCTACCCCTTATATACATTTGGGAAGCCGGCCCTTGATAGGATCAGGACCTTAATTTAAAGCGCTTAAGGGTTTGGTTTGCCTGGCAGCAATAAATGCTCCTCAAAATGCAAAACAGCCCGGCAAATACTAACTACTGAGGAAATAAAAAGGAATCTAAAAGTGCTCTGTGTGCAAGTTGGCTTAGAATATATTACGGTTTGAAGTGCTCCCCTAACTTACGCTAATTATAGTTTAGCAAACATTTTTGAAGAAACTCTTTGTGATTTGTTTGCAGCGTGTCGTTTGGGGTTTTGTGTCTCATGGGTTTTTGTGTGTGATGGCATGTTTTGCAGACTTGCACTTTGCGGGGGTAATTTCACAATCTCTCTTTTTTTTTTCTCTCACCAGGCTTGTTTTGGGTGCGGAAAAGTAACCAAAAGAAAAAAAAAAGAAGAAAAGAAAGTCAACAATGGAAAAAACACCGTGGAAGTTGTGTCATGATGATTAGATCATTTCTGTGCCTGAAACACCAGAAAATTCACCGAGTTATGGGTCTGGATTCATGTGCGAGGATTCAAAATGCTACTGAAAAAATATCCCCGTGCAACATTCCACACTGACCTTCTCTTACCACAGGAAACACCACCAAAACAGAGCAGGTTGCACCCAGGAACTGAGGCAAATTTCAGTTTTCTTACTCAGTTCATGCTTTGTGCTGTCAGCGACATTTTCACTTAAATAATGCTGCAAATTCCTAACTTGACATCCTTTGGACACAGTGAAATCTTTGGCCCTCGCTGTGTTGGAGCTTCTGGGTGTTGGAGACCCTTTTGATTCACCTTCGGGTAGACTCTACAGGGAACAAAAAAAGGAACAGTAGCACATTTCAGCCTGGTGAGATCCACCTCATTTATGAAGCGACAGCTGAAAGTCGGTGGCTCTGCCAGACACGTCCTTGACACTCAATGGAGAGGCACCTCCAAGAGAAACAGCCCCTGGGTCCATGCTCGGGGGAGCTGGCGTGATTCACCCTCCGCAGGCGCTGGTCTTTCTCCATCAACAGAGGAAGTCTTAATGAGTAGATTAGACTGGACACCAGGGATGGTTTTGACTCACATTGGCAAGATGAATCTCTCTCTCTCTCTCTCCCCTAATCACCAGCCCGAGGAGGTGAGACAGTCAACATATCTCCAACCATCTCGGGGCCTTCTCCAAACCGACATTTGGAAAGTCAAAACAATAGGGCTCTTTCAGCTCTTTGAGAGTAAATTGTTTGGGAGAAAAATAGACATTATAGCACCAACGACTAAATGCCCTCAGCCCTTCCTAACTGAAGAGGAGCAGCTTTTGGAAGACTCTGCATCTTCTACACGCAACATGGTGGAATCTGGAGACAACCAGTAGCTCGGTTCCCTCATCCTCATTAACTCCCTCCCAAAACGTTTTCCAAGAGTTGGGATTGGGCAGTGCAAATCGTGAAAACAATGCTAAACCTCAGTAAAACATTAAACCTTCTAGTATTAAGTTCTTAAAAAGAAGACACGCAAACCGAAAACATAGGACGTGACTGCAGCACTGAGATTCACGAGGCCATTAATTGAAGGTGTAATTGTGAGTTTGAGGGGCTGGTGGTATAAATTAGTTGCGTAAACTGATACTTTTGCCCTGTACAAATGGGATAATTCAACCTATTTACAGCATGACTTTCAGATTACACCTTTGCTTGTAGTATTTTGGGCCCACAGTTCATACTGGGTTGCCAGCACAGTTGGCAGTTCCAGCTGAAAAAAATATTAGAGACTTCAAGCTAAAGCTTGTAAATTCCCTTTGGGTTCTAAACAAAGAATTATGAGAAGCGAAATGCATATTTGAACCCAAAGACGAGCACAAAAGGCAATTATTATGAGCTCTATACGAGGAAAATGGCATCCCAGAAGCCAGGCTGAAGGCTGGTGTTGCCACCGCTGCCTTTCTGCACCCCATAATACGCATCGGAGGTGTGGGAGACACCTGGGACGTGGTGGAATCAGCAATTAAATGTCTGTGAACCAGCTCTGATGCAGCAGCCCCAGTTCCAAAACACCTCACCAGAGCTACTGCCTTCCTGAGAGGTAAGAGATTTTGGGCATAAATTAGCTGGTATTGGGTAAAATTTCTGTGTTGGCCAAATCCTTATTGTTTCTCCTGAATCCCAGGGAGAAGGCATCTATGTAGAACGTTCATTTAGTGTCTTTCAGGTCTTTCCAAGGCACAACAAGTGCTTCGCCTGTTGGTGCACAAATCCTCAAGAATTGGGAATTATTTATTGTGAGTGTGGCCATGGGAAGTGGGAGAATACTCTGAAACAGAAGTTGCATCTTTTTGACTCAAAAAAAAAAAAAAAAAAAAAGGAAGGGAAGGACTGAGGAAGCAAAAAAGGAAAATATTTTGATGAGGGGTTTGATGAGTCATTTTGACAACTTGCAATCTCTCCCTTTGTCAGCATTCTTCTCCCTCAATGTGCTGCTGAAAATGGAATTCATCAGGAGAACATGTGAAGTTCCCTAATTCGTTTGTTGCCTCCAGGGATGAATCTGAACTAGCTCTCAAACTGCATTTTATGCGATAGTCTCAAAGAGCCGTGCTCCGTCTCTGTAATTATCTGCAGCCGTAGAAAACTCATTGCATTCAGGTAGGACAATGGCAATAACCTCTCTGCACTGACACCATTTGATAGATGTAATTTTGGGTCGTAACACGTATTTTTATACCCACGGTTTCTTGGACTGTGTCAACTCTGGTCCATGCCATTCATGAGATGCTAAAGAATTGATTTGATGAGTCCAGCCTGTGTCCCTTGTATCCTAAAGTCCAAGGGAATTCAACCTGGTAATGTATTTTTTCCTCTCATTAGCCTAGATCTGCTCTACGTTAGAAGTCGAGGTTGGGATTTTCAAAGGATGTTCCTCATAAAATGCATCAAACGCTGGGCCTGGGTGCACCTTCCTCCCTGCTTCAGCCATCAAGCTACCCATGGATTCTAATTTCACCTTTGAGGCTCCCTCTATGGCTGATGGAAAGAGATAGGCATCTCCAGACGGTGACTCACCGCATCCGAAAATAGGCAGCTCAGGCAAGGTGGGAGGAATCCACCTCTGGAGGGACTCACCTTGCTTCTCCTTGACTACCGCAGGCAGTCTAGACAACCAGACAAGGAGACCAGGCGCCCCACTTCTGGCTGCTTAAGAGTGAGGTGGAATTAGTCCCACCCTTTGGGCGCCAAATTTCTTGGGCGCCTTTGAAGTCTTAATGAGAGCACACAACATCACACGCTCTGCAGCTTCGCCCGGTCCCCGGTGTGAGCGCTCGGCGTATCTCCACGCAGTGATCAGCGCCCCTAAAGCCAAGGCTGGCAATGAAGCCAAGGGTTGGGTTTTGGTCTTTCTCCTGTCGATGCCCTTCCTCCCACAGAATCAGGCAGGGAAAATGAGCACGGGATGGATGGCAACCCGGGCCCCGCAGTGGGATGGCATCACACTGCCCAGGAAAGCCTTTTCTAAAAGGGAAAAAAGAATATTGCACCTGTTATTAGGAAAGAACAACTTTCCCTATAAATCTACAGGAGCCCTTATCCCTTCCAGTTGAAGACGTTTTCTTGGGCAGGAGGGACTCTCTGAGCCATAGAAGGAAGGAATTGCTCATGGAAGGTTGGGTCCTCCTGGGGAGCACATTCAGGCGGCAGGAGATAAGCTCATCCTTTTGCTATGCAAAAGGCTGCCCAAGCCCACGTTTGGTTTGGTTGATTTGATTTAATTTGATTTAATTTGATTTGTGTAGCTTTGTGATGTAGTGCGGAATTTCTGATGGAACGCCTCGGCCTGAAGTCCTGACGTTGAGAGGGGCTGGTCACAGGTTTACAGTGAAGCACTTCCTAAATTAACTTATCAGATCTTGAAATGGTGACGGGGTTGGGGGGAGTTTGGAGGTGAGAATTCTGTGTCATTTCCCTGGTTTACTCTTCTCTTGCATAAAAAGCGAGAGGATTGTCTGTTTTCAACGGGGACACCATGACCTTTATGAGATACTTAAACCCCTCTCAATGAATATTTATGGGTGCTCGATTGTTCTTTTTCTTGTCGAATCTTTCTTGTGGTTTTCCTTCATTAGAGATTGGGCCTAGGGTTTTGTTGGGGTTTTTTTGTGCTCTTCATATTTGATTGGGAAACAGCTTCCTATCGTGTGAGAATTCCAGGGGGAGAGAAAACTCTCCCAGTTCTGAATCGCAATAATTGCTCCGGGTGGGAAAGACCTTCCCTCTGGATTCCCCCTTTTATAACACAGATACGGGTCCAACATGCCTCTATAAGGCTCATTTCTTTGTTCTGCTCGTGCTTTCATCAGTTGAATCGCAAAACACTTTATTCCTTTACGGTTGATTTATGTTACTAATTTGTTGGCTTCTTTTTTTTTTTTTTTTAATCCTTTCAAATACTGCTATATAAGCTTTTATGTCATGACCACTGAAGAGTTCTCCTGAATACACTTCAGACACAGGCATGGGGTGTATTTTTTTTCTAATTTTTTGGTTTTTTTTTTTTTTTTTTTTAATCCGCTCAAATGTACAATAAAATATCTCCCTTTGATGTGTTTTGAAATCCCTAGCTGTAAGATTTCTAAACTGATGGCGAAAAAAAGCAAGCAAGCACATTCCTGAGTCCTTTTTTTTCCCTATAATGACCCTATTGCAGCAGATTTTGAAGCGAAATAAAATGTGTTTTGTTGTCACACCTCCCTGGTAGAGATGCTGTAAAAACTGCTGCAAAGAGACTGGGATGACTTCTCCATGCATCTTCAAACACCCATTGAATAGCCTTGGGTGGGAGCCAAATTTTGGGCAAATCAGCATAAATAAGATGAATTTAAAAGTCTTCCAGAATTTAAGCCAGCCCAAGACTCTCTGGGCAGCCTGGCCGTGTCTGATTAATTGGTAAGACTTCTAGTCAGCAGGTATGTCTTGTCCAATTTGGGAACAGGGCATTTCTGGGCAACCTCTAAAAAACCAAGTGGCAACAGGTTTTTTTTCTTCATGCAATTGATGGGGAAAGAGCAAAAAGTGTGAAGCTCTTGAGTCATCAAGATAGAAGTGAGGATGCTGTGATTTCTGCATCTGTCAGGACACTAAGCAGGGAAGATAATAGGAATACAAGCGACGTAATTACCCTTTGCTGGCTACAGAAGGTGAAATGTGGTGGTTTTTGTTTTTTTTTTTAATTGAGATTTCCTTTATGACTTTCTGCCTGCACAGGGATGACCCAACTGCTCCAAGACAGCAAACAAAGGCCGTCGCTGCAGCCCTGTCCCTCCTCTCCGTCACCCCATGTGTCTCACCACTGCGGCTCCACTGGCTTGCCCAAAATTACATCAGATAGAGTTCTGTGGAACAGTGAGTCCTAGAGAGCTTGTTTCCAGAAACACTTCCCAGAGCACTCCCGGGAAAGGCTTCTCAATTAAATATCAGGACTTGTTTCATAGATAGCAAAGGTTTAATCTGGGGGGAAAAAAAAAAGAAGGCTGGTGGGAAGGAGGAACCGAGTGATAACAAGGTAAGTGCCCCAACACAACCACCAGCCCTTTAAAGAAACAGCAGAAATCAAAAGGAATGTGTTTTAAGTGTCCCTTTTTTGATGTGATGCCGGTGGAGTTTCTCAGATGTGGTTTCATGATGCTACAACCTGCTTGTGCCCAGTGTGGCTCTTCCTTGTGTGTGAGGTGGAGCTGAGGACATTTTCACCGCTGAGAAGTGGAGCAAGGGCTTCCATTTCTCTACTTTAGGTCTTACCTCCTGGTTGTCCCGACTCTCACAAGCAGAAGTTTAGATCTGGGTGTTCTTGGGGCATGGAGGTCCAGTGGAAATCCTCACTCCTGGCGAACACATCCCTCGTGGGGGAACAGAGTTCCCCGTGCTCTTGGTGGCACTGCAGGTCCCTCTGCAGCTCCCTGCGCTCCTGCTGCAGAGGCCACCAGTGCCCAGGGGGGCTGAGCTCTGGCACGAAGGGCCACCATCTCCAGCTTTAAATTCTTTGCTCCTGGGGATACATCTGGGAGCACCTGGGATGTGGTGCCCACCTGCAGAGCTGGAAACGCTTCTGGAGGTGAATCCTCTGTGGCAGGCACCAGCATCTTCAGGTAGGGATGCTCCACCAGCACTACAGGAGGACTTGCACCTTCTGGACTGTCTTCCAGCTCCGCGTGCCAGCTCGGCTGCGCGGCTGGCGATGGTGTTGGAAGAGGTGGTGATCGCTGTCATCGGGAAACACAAGCTGGAGCACTCATGGGGAGGACGCAGCCTTCCTCCTCCCCCTCCAAACTGGATTGTGTAATGTCGTAAGGAAAATGGAAAAATTTGAGCTTACTTACACACTCTCACAGGGCTCCCAAGGCATATCCTGAAGGAGAAGAAGGTTGCAAGATTATCCATCACGTAACTGGCATTTCTAGCATTTCCCAGCCTCTTTGTCTCTGCTGGAAAGTCCCAAGGACTGAGCAGTGCCCACACATGGTGGTGGTGGTACCCACCTGCTCTCTTCACCCTCCAGTAGAGTCTTATAGGTCGCAATCTCGATATCCAGGGCCAGCTTGACGTTCAGCAGCTCCTGGTAGTCCCTCAGCATGCAAGCCAGCTCGTCCTTGGCCTTCTGGAGGGCGTTCTGCAGCTCAATGTGCTTCTCCCGGGCATCTTTCAGGGCACAGTCCCCATGTTGCTCAGCATCACACACCAATGTTTGCAGAGAGGAGACCTGCCAGGGGAGACACAAGAAGTCCTCTCTTTCCCTGACCCCTTTCTTGCGACACTGACCTTTGAAAAGAGCACTCCTCGCTTCTTTTGAGAGTCCCAAAGTGGGAAGCATTGAGGTCGGTTTGGAGGAAGGCCAAATCTTCCCAAAAATCAGATTCCCATTCTGAAATGCTACAGAAAAGCTGGACACGTCCCTGTACGGCCAGACGGTGTCTAAGTCTTGTTTCGAGGATACCAATACTTTGTTCTAATTGGAACTAATAATTAAGGTTTTCCATTACTTCCCGTTATAAACTATATAATGAATTAGATGGTCTGAAAATTATCCCAGTTTCTATGGGTGCTGAATTACTGGTGAGTCATAATTCTACCCTATTTATTGGATGCTTTGAACCTGTGTCAGAAGCGTTGTCTCCTGCCAGAATTCTCGCTGGAGCAATTCTAGCAATTTTCCGAGTGGCTGTAGCTAATCCAATGATCTAATTTGGTGCAATTAGTTCCTTGCAATAATCAAAATGGTCCAACAGAAAATAGGCCAGTAGATAACCCTTCTTCCCTGCTCAGCACTGGTAGGATCTTCTCTGGACCAATGGAGCCAGTGTGAGGCAATGCCCTTTGATAAAGATGAAAGAAATGCCATGGAGATGTGGAAAACACGACCTGGGACCTCACGTCTAGGACTCAGTGAGTAAATATAGTCCATCATACCTGCTTCTTCACATTTTCAAGGTCACACTGCCTTCTCTGGATCACAAAACCCAGCTCTTCAATCTCTTGCTGGTGGGACTTCAGTTCATTGGAACGTCTCCCCTTTGCCTCTTCAAGTTCTTGGAACTGATAGTAAGGAAAGAGAGAGCCGACAATTAATACTGGTCGTTAATGTGATATAGGAGCCTGCTTCCGTTTCCAGAGAGAATTAAATGAGGTTTAGGAAGGTCCTCATGACTTGGCAGCTCCTGAGACTTATGGCAGCGAACGGAGCTTTCCTCCTGTAGCTTTCACTGCTCAACTCACCTACAACCTCCCCATTCCCCACGGGACCAAGTCCTGTCCCAGTCCTGTACTGGGGATGTCCTCCTGACTTTGAGACTCAAAATGTTTTGCAGAGTGGAAAATTAGGTCCAGAAGCTACATAGTGAAGACAGAAGGAAAAAATCCCCACCTTTGCACTTCTACTCTTGATACGGAATCAAGGATCCATCGCTGGATGCTGCAACTTACCCTGGTCCTGTACAAGGCATCCAACTCCACTTTGCTTTTCTGAGCCATGTCCTCATACCAGCCGGCGACATTCCTGAGGACCCCCTCCATCTCCAGGCCTCGGCTGTTGTCCATCTTCACGACGACAGAGGTGTCACAGGGATTTCTCTCCAGCTCCGCAATTTCCTAGAAGCCACATGAAATGGCAGTAAACTCTTGGGGTGTCTCTGTCCCCAGAGGTCTGATCTCACACTCCAGTGGCAGTAACACCACCACTGAGAGTCCAACCCGAGCCACAGCCCGGGAGTTGAGATTACATTTGGTCACAGGTGCAGTTTGAGGTTTTCCCTATCTCGGATCCCCATTGCCTCCCAAGGGGACCCCAATGGATTGGTTTAATCAGGCCTAAATCACCACAGATGAGGAGCAGGTGGTAGGAATAGCTGCCGTCAACCAAGGTTGGGACAGGGGCATCCATACCTGAGCAGAAACACATTTCAGGAACTCTGTCTCCTGCTTTAGGGTTTCCACCTTTGCTTCCAGCTCTACCTTGGCCAGATAGACGCAGTCCGCATCCTAAAAGAGTTTCCAGGCATTTAGAAGTCAAAATGGTGCCTACACAGAGACCTAAGGCAATTCCATTATACTTTTAGAGTGAGAAATTTTGACCCTTCTGTTCAGACAAATTCCTCACCTTCTTCAGGAGCACAAACTCGTTCTCGGCAGCTGTGTGTCTGTTCCCTTCCTGCTGGTATCTGCTGGGGAAGAGGAGAGGAGAGGAGAGGAGAGGAGAGGAGGGGCCTGTTATTTTCTTATTTGGACCCGGCCTGGGGGTGGGGCCTCTGAGAGGAGAGGAGAGGAGAGGGGTCGTTCTGAGGCTGGAGACCTTGTTTGTTGTATTTAGGGGTCAGGGTTTGGATCTCAGCCTTTTTTTAGAGATAAGTCTATTTATATGGACAAAAATAAAAGTCTGATTAGACAAGCTGTTTGAGCTCACTGCCCTGGGCATGGTTTCTGCTCACTCACTTGCACCTGAGCTCTTCAACAAGCTTCTCCATGTCGTTCAGCTCGGGCTCCATCTGCCCCTTCTCATGCAACAAGGAGTCCAGCTGCCTCTGCAGGCTGCAGATGACATTGTCGAAGATGTGCTTGATGTTCTTACGGCATGGCAGGACCTGCTTTTGGAGTAGGTCCCATTTGGTGGCCAACACCCTGTTCTGCTGCTCCAGACGCTGGACCTGCACTCAGAAAACAAAACCACCTTCTTCACACATGCATCATATGGGGACCAGAGGAAAGTGGGGTCAACAAGGCGTCTGCTCTTCTGAGTCAATGCTCCAGGGGCTCGTTGTGATTTGAAGGGGATGAGAGGACAAAAGGGGGATATTGTCATCTTCATCATCCTGTAATCCTGCAGCAAACTGGGGATGCTGCTTTCTCATTCTCCAAGGAAGCCCTAGACAGCTCCAGAAATGGAACTGGGCAGGGTGGAAGTGGATGATGTTTAAGGTCCCTTCCAACCCCAACCATTCTGTGATTCTATGATCAAAGCACACAAGGCAGATTAAAATAACATTATCAGCTAGACCTGCACTTGCAGCCCAGGGTACTGGAGTCACACATGCTAAAACAAGCACAAGATTCATGCAATAGGGTGAGAGAAGGAGGGGAATCAAAGACATGAGCACAAAAAGGTGTCCTTCACACTTCATCTCATCATTCCTTTAAGTCTCGTCTCAGCTCTCACCTTGTCAATCAAAGAGGCAAACTGGTTATTGAGGCTCTTCATCTGCTCTCTCTCCTGCTTTCGGATGTGCTGGATTTCGGGGTCGATCTTCACCTCGAGAGGCTGCAGCAGGCTCTCGTTGACGAGCACGGCACGAATACCTCCACCCCTGCAGCTCCTGCCGTGGAAGCCAAACCCATGACCCCCACCTTCACCGCTGCCATGGACGCCCCTGCACCCCCAGCCTCCCCCGGCCCCTTGAGCGAGGCTATGGGCAGAAGAAACCCATTTACACCCCTCTGGGTTTGAGGGGCTTTGGCTGCTGTGGCTCCAGGCTCCATAACCTCTTCCAAATAGCCCAGCAGAGGGGAAGGCGCTGCTCCGGCAGCGGCTCATGCTGCTCGCAGCAGAAGATGATGAGAAGAACCTCCTTCCATGAAAAGACCTCCCAGCTGAGAGCTGCTGGCTCATGCTGGCAGAGGTGATGGAGGGGAGGATGCTGGAAGACAGCAGAGGATGCAGCTCAAAAGGGGCCTCTCTGCTCCGACACCCCTGAGCATCTCCTTTATACACAGCCCAGAAGTGGGGCTTGGTTGCTGCAGATGAATAATTTGGGGTTTTCTTGGGGTTTGCCTTGCCTGGCAGCAATTCGTAGGTTTAAATATGCAAAACAATGCATAACAGTGAACATTTGTGAAATCTTATGGAATTTTACTGGTTTTAAATTGCTTCGTTTGCATACTTAGCTTAAAGGATTCCATGGGCTGGGTTTTTGTGAGGATTCTTCTGTTGTTTGAGTTTGTCCTCCTTCCTTACATTAATTACAGTTTAACAAATGGCCTTAAGAGTATCTCCCTCTGTCAAGGAATCACAGAATGGTTCGTGTTGGAAGAGACCTTAAAGATTATCCTGTTCCAACCCCCCTGTCCTGGGCAGGGACACCTCCCACCAGACCAGGTTGCTCCAGGCCCCCTCCAACCTGGCCTTGAACCCCTCCAGGGATGGGGCAGCCACAGCTTCTCTGGCCAACCTGGGCCAGGCTCTCACCACCCTCACACCAAACAAGTTCTTCCCCACATCTCAGCTCCATCTCCCCTCTTTCAGTGTCAAACCCTTCCCCCTCATCCCATCGCTCCCCTCCCTCATCAAGAGTCCCCCCCCCAGCTTTCCTGGCGCCCATTTAGGGACTGGAAGGCACTCTAAGGTCTCCCTGGAGCCTTCTCTTCTCCAGGCTGAACCCCCCCCAACTCTCTCAGCCCCCCCTCCCAGCAGAGGGGCTCCAGCCTTCAGACCAGTTCAGGCTTGGATGCTCAACTTTTAGAGGAATAAATGAGTGTAGCTCTATCCTCTCATTAAGTTTTTGATTTTGATCATGCAGAACACATCGAACAAAAAGACTCGCGTGGAAAAGACAATAAATTACTTAGGAAATAGGGAGCTCAGCCACAAGGCTGTTGACTGGGTGCTTGCTAATCGTTTAATTAGGAAGAGGGGTAGGCTCGGCTGTGGTGGGCAGACTATGAACGTACCAACAGTCAGGATCCTGCAAAAAAAATACCTTCTTAATGCAGCTGCTGTGTGGCTGCTCTCTGTTAACAAGCCTTTATGTTGGAGGTTGTAATTAAAACCCTTGGGATACCTCAAGGCAAGCAGAAAAGATTTATGAGAGTTGTTTGACAGACGGGGAAGAAAAGGCTGAAAAGTTTAATATATCTGCTGAGAGCTTCGCAACACCTCAGGGGTGGAGCCACCATCGCCTCTCGGCCCTTGTGGCTTCTGGCCAAAGTCTCTTTCAAAACAGAAAGGCGAAGGGTTTCATTGCAGGCGATATGAGAGAAACGGGCTTCCCCTGCTGTTATCTCACACTAATCCTTCCCTTTTTTCAGTAGGCTCCGACCTTGGTTGGTGTGTTTTGGGCAATTCAACATTTAAGGCCTTCAAATTCCCAAGAATCATCACAGAATCTTCATGGTTGGAAGGGACCTTTGAGATCACCAAGTCCAACCATACACACACACAAAAGTCCCCCATAATCTTGGCCCCTAGAACATGCCCTGAAGTGCCCCATCTACACGCTTCCTAAGTCCCTTCAGGGATGGTGACTCCACCACCTCCCTGGGCAGCCTCTTCCAGTTCCTGACCGCCCTCTCAGTAAAGTCATTCTTCCCAATATCTAATCTAAACCTGCCCCAACTTCAGATCATTTCTTTTGCTCCTGTCATTATTCCCTTGGGAGAAGAGGCCAACCCCACCTCTCTACACCCTCCTTCCAGGTAGTTGAGAGGGCAATGAGGTCTCCCCTCAGCCTCCTCTCCTCCAAAGAGTTCCCTCAGCCTCTCCTCGTGTGACTTGTTCTCCAGACCCCTCCCCAGCTTGGTGGCTCTCCTCCGGACATGCTCCAGCACTTCAATGTGTTTCTGGTAGTGAGGGGCCCAAGAAGTGGGATAGCATTTCACGTGTTCATTTATTTCCTTGGTTTTGCAGGGATTTTTTAAATTTTTTTTTCTGCTCCCTGGGCTCTTTGGAGGGCTCTTTCACCACCTTTCGCAAGAGGGCTGATGACAAACAGAACTGGTTACAAGAAACCTTGCTGGCATTCTGTCTCCAGGAGCGGCAGATGCCAAAGGTTTTCTTGCACCTCATTATTTGCAAATGTTCCCTGCTGGAACAGCTTGCCCTGAGCCCAGCAAGAGGGATAATTGAGGGTATGAAGCAGCTGGAAAGACAACCAGCTTAATTGCAGGTTCTTGACAGCGCTATCAATTACACCTACACAGAGAGGAGCAGGAATGATTGAAGTCCTGGGTGTCTCACTTGGCTGCTTAAATACGGGCAGAGACAGTGGCAATCCCAGCTGGAAGAGCAGGGTTGGAGCCCAGGAGGAGGCACTTGGCCTGGAGCTGCTCTGACTGGGTCTTCATTTTGTGCTTCCAATTTGTCTCTCCTTGGTCTTCTACTGAATCCCCTTTGCTGGGTCTCATGGCCTCAGTGACAAGGTGCCACGATGCTTGAAGGTCAAGGTCCTCCTGCACCTTCTGGGCAGGGGTGGGTGATCTCAGGATGATCTCCCTGGCCCTGCTGCTACCAATAAGAGTTTTATTCCTTTCAAGAAAGGAAGAATTAGCTCAGAGCTTGTGGTTCCTTGCTGTGGTTGGAGCCTACAGGGTCATGGGCGGTTTCAAAAGTTTCTTCCCGTAGACACACTTTGATAAGTGAAACTCCCAAACTTGGGTTTTCACACCCCCAGACCATGGCGAAAGGTTCATCCATCTGGCTCTAGATGTCCTGTGATGACCCTGAGTCCCCAAAAGGCAGATGATGCCACCTGATGTCACCCTTGGGCTGTTCTCATCTGCCCAGCTCAGGCTGTAGTTCAGAAGATCACAAGATCAGCTCTGCCTTCCTCTCCTGACTTCATCTCATCCCACCCAAGTTGCTGCAGGAGACAAAGTCTTTGTATGTCATTTGACAGCAGAGTCTCCAGGTTTCAAATCCACCAGATCTTCTCCATTTGTTTCCATCTACTTGATGGAACTGGGTGTATTTATGTCAGAGCAATTGTGTTCTTGCAGCTCCCTTTCAGGAGGAGGAGGGATCTATGTGTATGTGGGCACCAGGGGAATAGCTCCCAGGCTAATCACAGCTCATTAATTTACTTCTAATCACCAGGAATTTTGGAAAGAGGCCCAGCAATGAAGAGAGGAAGCCCACAATTTTCATGGTACTACAATGGAGCTATGACTAATTTCAGAGGGTTTTGCCGAAGTAAATCAGGAGACAACTTCTTGTTCTTGGCCACATCCTTCAGCAAAGAGGGCTGAAGCCCAGAACTCCATCAGTCAGAGAGGGAGTGGGAGAGGCAGCACACACTGAGGTACGACTATTTTCTCCCACTAGGTGGTGGTATCTAATGCATCTTCAGCCTCCTCCACATGGGTTCTTGGTTGGGATCTTGGTGGTGACACGAGCCTGTCCACACCTCACAACACTCAGAAATCTCTCAGGACACCACTAGCAAGAGCTGGCTCACAGCTGTAGAGGACAATATTTAGAAGCCAGGACAGCACAGGACCAACAAGGTCCTCAGTCCTTGAGAGGTGGTGATGTTTCATGTGGATTTGTACTCAGAGGTTGACTATGAGCCTGGGTGTTTTGTGAAACACGTGTGAACCCAGTAATGCACCTCTTGGCAGAAAACACCACTTAGAGAGTTACCACCACCTTTAATGACAACTGACCTACCATCGTCTTCTTCACCACGCCGGTGTCCTCCCCTCATACCTGAAACCCTGTTCATTGCGTCAATACTCTTGGAGGCTCGAGCTGTACTTGGGCACAGGGTGTCAGTAGACACCTTCTTTCAATGTCACATCCTGAGCGTGCCTACAGTGCTGCGATGACTGATGGTACGTGCCCCGAGACATTAACTGGCATCAATCTGAAGGCCCCATCTTATGATCTTCTTCTTCTCATGACTTCGACTCAGCCCCTGAACCTCAAAAATCAAAACATCTCTGGGCACAGCCTTCAGCAGTCTGTCTTGTGGCACTTTCCATCCAAAATACATGGGCCAATATCTAACTGACATAAGGAACTTAGCGTTGAGTCAACAAGAAATCAGCAGTGGACCCGTCCCCACGCTCCCCATGTTGACATTACACCTCTTTTAGCCACTTTCCACACTTCCCACGTGTTGTGGTGGCGAAAAGAAACAAAAATCTTCTGCTTGATGGTCCCAGCTCAAATCTGTATGGTTCAAAGAGCTGAAACTCAGCCTTGGTCTTAACAGAGCCAAATACACATTGCTTCTTACAGGTACCAGCAGGAGTTGGGACCACACGACTCACACAATAATTTAGCATTTTAAAAATGCTGTATTTTTAGACAGCTGAGCTCCTGGGCTGGATTTTTCACTCCTACTTAAAAAGGGATAGTTTTATATGGAAGGAGGTGCCAGAACACCCGTCTCCAGAAACTGGAGATATGATTACAGCTTAGCTGACAAGCAGAACAGGTTTTGATATACCCTTCCAAACTCTTCCTGCACCAAATTAGCCCAGCACTTCAGGCTATGTGCTACCCGGGTGTAAACAGTACTTAAAAGAACTTAGTGGAAATGCTGATCAAGCCCCTCGCAGGAGCTGGGGGTTCGCAATCTCTTCTCCAGGCTGGTCTCCCCGGCTCCTGGTACAGTCAACCGAAAAGAGGGTTTGTCTGATCTCCGGCGGGTGATTCATCCCCTATTAAGGCAGAGGCACAAATTAGGCCTTTTGAATTGCCTCCAGAAGTGCCTGTTTCTCTCCATTGACTCTCCCTTCTTCCTTTTCAACCTTTCGCTCTACGAAACCGATCGGTAGAAAACCCACAGACCTCACCACAGTGTTCATATTAATTCTTTATTTCTTCTGATGGGAGATGAGAAGCTCTAGGCACCCTGTCTGCATAATTAATTTCACAGTGAAACTGAAGCCCAACAATACTCGGCAGATTGTGGAATTACCTCTCTCAGCTTCCACTTTTTAATGCACAGAGAGAGGCTTTGTCTTTGATTGAAAATTCTTACCTGATCTCGTAGATAAAAAGTGGGGTTGTTACGATGCAGCTTGTTTATCATTTGGATCGTGAAGAACTGAACTGTTTCAGTGAGTGATGTAGAAGCAACCAGTAACCATAGAAGACTTTGGGTTGGAAGGGACCTTAAAGCCCATTCAGTGCCACTCTCAGCCCTGGGCAGGGACACCTCCCACCAGCCCAGGTTGCTCCAACCCCCCCCAACCTGGCCTTGAACCCCTCCAGGGATGGGGCAGCCACAGCTTCTCTGGCCAACCTGGGCCAGGCTCTCACCACCCTCACACCAAACAAGTTCTTCCCCACATCTCAGCTCCATCTCCTCTCTTTCAGTGTCAAACCCTTCCCCCTCCTCCTATGGCTCCCCTCCCTCATCAAGGGTCCCTCCCCAGCTTTCCTGGAGCCCTTTGAGGGACTGGAAGGGGCTCCAAGGTCTCCCTGGAGCCTTCTCTTCTCCAGGCTGAACCCCCCCCAACTCTCTCAGCCCCCCCTCCCAGCAGAGGGGCTCCAGCCCTCCCAGCATCTCCGGAGCCTCCTCTGGTCCTGCTCCACCAGCTCCGTGTCCTTCTGATGTTGGTGGCCCCAGAGCTGGAGACAGCACTGGGCAGAGGGGGGGTGTCCCCAGAATGGAGCAGAGGGGCAGAATCCCCCCCAACCCTGCTGGCCATGCTTCTGGGGATGCAGCCCAGGATGCAGGGGGCTTTCTGGGCTACGAGAGCACGTTGGCAACTCACGTTGAGCTTCTCCTCCACCAACACCCCCAAGTCCTTCTCCTCAGGGCTGCTCTCCAGCCATTCTCCACCCAGCCTGGGTTTGTGCTTGGGTGAATAAACTGTCTCAGCTGTTGGAGGGCAGCTCTACGTGGCATTTTGCAAGCCAAGGTAGACTCACACCACCCACACGCTGAGCCCGTGGGACGCCAGCCAGCGCAGATGAAAACGCCGCATTATCTCAGCAGCGTTTGCTAACACAACCTCCAGGTTCTGCTGCCACAGCTGAGTGCTTCACAGCTTGCGTGGGGCTTTCTGCGTTTGATGAGGGCAGTGATAGCCTAGTTTTGACTGAAATAGCGTCTAGACCTCCCCACATGTGGAGTTCTCATAACTGCTTCCAGACTCTGCCATGAAGGTCTGATTTGGCCCTTTGTGGCTCCCCATCAAACATCTCTGGTTGTTTTCACGCCTCTATGGCCGTTTGCAAATGGGTCTCCAGGGTGGATTTTCCACCACGCTGAGTATCTCGCTCCCCACAAGCTGCCACCCCCAGGACTCTCCACGCTTGGATTTCTTTGAAAAACAGTTAAGAGAATCCTTCCTTCCCTCCGACCGGGGAGAAGACATGAAATATTCCCGATGGGATCAGGACATTCCAGTTATCTAAGGGGAGTGTTGCTCAATTGAGGTGACACAGTTACGTCGAGCATCTTGAGCAAACTGTCCCAGTAATCTCAGCTGAGCTGCTCTGCTCTTCATTAGAACTTTTGATTGGACCATCCAGCTTTCATTTGGGACCCCGAGGGGAAAAACGGTACTAGAAGTGAGACAAGGAGACATTGTTGTTTGTAAACTCTTGCTCCTTTCTTTATCTGCAGCTGCAAGACTAAGAAAATCTACGTGGACAATTCTGTCCCTTGGTTATTTAAAGAGTGACTCCTGGAGGGAACGATGGAACTGGGATGGAGCCCCATGTCCTGGTTGACTGGCTGGATCAGGCCAACAGGCCTTGGCCCCTGAAGCCCAATTTCACAACAAATGTTCGGTGTATGCTCCCCCTCCCCAACAGACATTCTTTGGTAAACACCATCTTCCACTTTTTCTTGGGGTTGCATGAGACGTCCGTAAACTGATTTAGATATTTAAAGAGCTCTTTCAAAAAACCTCATGATGCCCATAATAGTCACGACCTCCCACAGACCAACACACACACAACAGAGAGGGTTTCAAGCTTTTAGTTACCAAAGACAAAGGTTCCAAACAGAGTTCCCCCATGAGTTGCAGAGTGAAGAGAAAGCCTAAGGGAAGAGTCACCATCACGATATTGTCATAAACCAGAGGCACGTGGTTGGACAACTCAGGAGGTGGCTGTGCAGGGAGAAGAGAGCTCAGAATTATGGGCGACCCACTAGCAGTGACTCCGTGGTGGGCAGGAAAGCCACCCTCACCTCCCATAGCGAGGGAAATGCCCTCCTTTTCCCATTCCGCTGGCAGATATTTCCATGCAAATATTATTTGTGGGAAGCTTCTCCAGAAGAACCAGAGCTACCTCCATAGACAGACCTGTAATCCCACCTCCCAGGAGAGCACCCCCCTTCAGAGCTGCATTCCCCAGTCCCATATGTGGGGCTGCATCTCCCAGATTCACAGCTCCCTATGCTATAAACCCCTTCCCCTCCAGAGCTATACCCACCACTGCCAGACCTACAGATACCACCAGAGCTGCATCTTCCTCCTCCAGAGCTGGAGCCTCCTCCATACCCTGAGCCTCCTTCTCCACAGGTAGACCCACCACTGCCAGACCTACAGATACCACCAGAGCTGCATCTTCCTCCTCCAGCGCTGGAGCCTCCTCCATCCCCTGAGCCTCCTTCTCCACAGGTAGACCCACCACTGCCAGACCTACAGATACCACCAGAGCTGCATCTTCCTCCTCCAGCGCTGGAGCCTCCTCCATCCCCTGAGCCTCCTTCTCCACAGGTAGACCCACCACTGCCAGACCTACAGATACCACCAGAGCTGCATCTTCCTCCTCCAGCGCTGGAGCCTCCTCCATAGCTCTGGCCACTTCCGGAGATGGAGCCTCTCCTGCCAGAGCTGGAGCCTCCTCCATAACTGTGGTCACCTCCAGAGATGGAACCTCCACTGCCATAGCTTGATCCTCCTCCATAGCTGTGGCCACCTCCAGAGATGGACCCACCACTGCCGTAGCTTGATCCTCCCCCTCCAGAGATGGAGCCTCTCCTGCCAGAGCTGGAGCCTCCTCCATAACTGTGGTCACCTCCCGAGATGGAACCTCCACTGCCTGAGCCTCCTCCTCCACAGATGGCCCCACCACTGCCATAGCTCCCTCCTCCTCCAGAGATGGAACCTCTCCTGCCTGAGCTGCTGCCACCACCAGAGCTCATCCCTCCACTGTGGGGACAGCATCTGCCAGAGCTGGAGCCTCCTCCATAACTGTGGTCACCTCCCGAGATGGAACCTCCACTGCCTGAGCCTCCTCCTCCACAGATGGCCCCACCACTGCCATAGCTCCCTCCTCCTCCAGAGATGGAACCTCTCCTGCCTGAGCTGCTGCCACCACCAGAGCTCATCCCTCCACTGTGGGGACAGCATCTGCCAGAGCTGGAGCCTCCTCCATAACTGTGGTCACCTCCCGAGATGGAACCTCCACTGCCTGAGCCTCCTCCTCCACAGATGGACCCACCACTGCCATAGCTCGATCCTCCTCCAGAGATGGAACCTCTCCTGCCTGAGCTGCTGCCACCACCAGAGCTCATCCCACCACTCGGGGGACTGCATCTGCCAGAGCTGGAGCCTCCTCCATAGCTCTGGCCACCTCCGGAGATGGAGCCTCTTCTGCCTGAGCTGCTGCCACCACCAGAGCTCATCCCACCACTCGGGGGACTGCATCTGCCAGAGCTGGAGCCTCCTCCATAGCTCTGGCCACCTCCGGAGATGGAGCCTCTTCTGCCTGAGCTGCTGCCACCACCAGAGCTCATCCCACCACTCGGGGGACTGCATCTGCCAGAGCTGGAGCCTCCTCCATAGCTCTGGCCACCTCCGGAGATGGAGCCTCTTCTGCCTGAGCTGCTGCCACCACCAGAGCTCATCCCACCACTCGGGGGACTGCATCTGCCAGAGCTGGAGCCTCCTCCATAGCTCTGGCCACCTCCGGAGATGGAGCCTCTTCTGCCTGAGCTGCTGCCACCACCAGAGCTCATCCCACCACTCGGGGGACTGCATCTGCCAGAGCTGGAGCCTCCTCCATAGCTCTGGCCACTTCCGGAGATGGAGCCTCTCCTGCCTGAGCTGCTGCCACCACCAGAGTTCATCCCACCGCTGTGGGGACTGCATCTGCCAGAGCTGGAGCCTCCTCCATAACTGTGGCCACCTCCAGATATGGAACCTCTCCTGCCTGAGCTTTCTCCTCCTCCATACCCTGAGCCTCCTCCACCACAGATGGACCCACCACTGCCATAGCTGGATCCTCCTCCATAGCTGTGGCCACCTCCAGAGATGGACCCGCCACTGCCATAGCTCCCTCCTCCTTCAGAGATGGAGCCTCTCCTGCCAGAGCTGGAGCCTCCTCCATACCCTGAACCTCCTTCTCCACAGATGGACCCACCACTGCCATAGCTTGATCCTCCTCCAGAGATGGAGCCTCTCCTGCCAGAGCTGGAGCCTCCTCCATAGCTCTGGCCATCTCCAGAGATGGAGCCTCTCCTGCCAGAGCTGGAGCCTCCTCCATAGCTCTGGCCATCTCCAGAGATGGAGCCTCTCCTGCCAGAGCTGGAGCCTCCTCCATAGCTCTGGCCATCTCCAGAGATGGAGCCTCTCCTGCCAGAGCTGGAGCCTCCTCCATAGCTCTGGCCATCTCCAGAGATGGAGCCTCTCCTGCCAGAGCTGGAGCCTCCTCCATAGCTCTGGCCATCTCCAGAGATGGAGCCTCTCCTGCCAGAGCTGGAGCCTCCTCCATAGCTCTGGCCATCTCCAGAGATGGAGCCTCTCCTGCCAGAGCTGGAGCCTCCTCCATAGCTCTGGCCATCTCCAGAGATGGAGCCTCTCCTGCCAGAGCTGGAGCCTCCTCCATAGCTCTGGCCATCTCCAGAGATGGAGCCTCTCCTGCCAGAGCTGGAGCCTCCTCCATAGCTCTGGCCATCTCCAGAGATGGAGCCTCTCCTGCCAGAGCTGGAGCCTCCTCCATAGCTCTGGCCATCTCCAGAGATGGAGCCTCTCCTGCCAGAGCTGGAGCCTCCTCCATAGCTCTGGCCATCTCCAGAGATGGAGCCTCTCCTGCCAGAGCTGGAGCCTCCTCCATAGCTCTGGCCATCTCCAGAGATGGAGCCTCTCCTGCCAGAGCTGGAGCCTCCTCCATAGCTCTGGCCATCTCCAGAGATGGAGCCTCTCCTGCCAGAGCTGGAGCCTCCTCCATAGCTCTGGCCATCTCCAGAGATGGAGCCTCTCCTGCCAGAGCTGGAGCCTCCTCCATAGCTCTGGCCATCTCCAGAGATGGAGCCTCTCCTGCCAGAGCTGGAGCCTCCTCCATAGCTCTGGCCATCTCCAGAGATGGAGCCTCTCCTGCCAGAGCTGGAGCCTCCTCCATAGCTCTGGCCATCTCCAGAGATGGAGCCTCTCCTGCCAGAGCTGGAGCCTCCTCCATAGCTCTGGCCATCTCCAGAGATGGAGCCTCTCCTGCCAGAGCTGGAGCCTCCTCCATAGCTCTGGCCATCTCCAGAGATGGAGCCTCTCCTGCCAGAGCTGGAGCCTCCTCCATAGCTCTGGCCATCTCCAGAGATGGAGCCTCTCCTGCCAGAGCTGGAGCCTCCTCCATAGCTCTGGCCATCTCCAGAGATGGAGCCTCTCCTGCCAGAGCTGGAGCCTCCTCCATAGCTCTGGCCATCTCCAGAGATGGAGCCTCTCCTGCCAGAGCTGGAGCCTCCTCCATAGCTCTGGCCATCTCCAGAGATGGAGCCTCTCCTGCCAGAGCTGGAGCCTCCTCCATAGCTCTGGCCATCTCCAGAGATGGAGCCTCTCCTGCCAGAGCTGGAGCCTCCTCCATAGCTCTGGCCATCTCCAGAGATGGAGCCTCTCCTGCCAGAGCTGGAGCCTCCTCCATAGCTCTGGCCATCTCCAGAGATGGAGCCTCTCCTGCCAGAGCTGGAGCCTCCTCCATAGCTCTGGCCATCTCCAGAGATGGAGCCTCTCCTGCCAGAGCTGGAGCCTCCTCCATAGCTCTGGCCATCTCCAGAGATGGAGCCTCTCCTGCCAGAGCTGGAGCCTCCTCCATAGCTCTGGCCATCTCCAGAGATGGAGCCTCTCCTGCCAGAGCTGGAGCCTCCTCCATAGCTCTGGCCATCTCCAGAGATGGAGCCTCTCCTGCCAGAGCTGGAGCCTCCTCCATAGCTCTTGCCACCTCCAGAGATGGAGTGTCCACTGCCTGAGCTCCCTCCTCCTCCACCAGAGATGGAGCCTTTTCCTCCTGAGCTTCCTCCTCCATACCCAGAGCTTCCACCACAGATTGACCCACCACCGCCAGAGCTCCCTCCTCCTCCACCAGAGATGGAGCCTTTTCCTCCTGAGCTTCCTCCTCCATACCCAGAGCTTCCACCACAGATTGACCCACCACCGCCAGAGCTCCCTCCTCCTCCACCAGAGATGGAGCCTTTTCCTCCTGAGCTTCCTCCTCCATACCCAGAGCTTCCACCACAGATTGACCCACCACCGCCAGAGCTCCCTCCTCCTCCACCAGAGATGGAGCCTTTTCCTCCTGAGCTTCCTCCTCCATACCCAGAGCTTCCACCACAGATTGACCCACCACCGCCAGAGCTCCCTCCTCCTCCACCAGAGATGGAGCCTTTTCCTCCTGAGCTTCCTCCTCCATACCCAGAGCTTCCACCACAGATTGACCCACCACCGCCAGAGCTCCCTCCTCCTCCACCAGAGATGGAGCCTTTTCCTCCTGAGCTTCCTCCTCCATACCCAGAGCTTCCACCACAGATTGACCCACCACCGCCAGAGCTCCCTCCTCCTCCACCAGAGATGGAGCCTTTTCCTCCTGAGCTTCCTCCTCCATACCCAGAGCTTCCACCACAGATTGACCCACCACCGCCAGAGCTCCCTCCTCCTCCACCAGAGATGGAGCCTTTTCCTCCTGAGCTTCCTCCTCCATACCCAGAGCTTCCACCACAGATTGACCCACCACCGCCAGAGCTCCCTCCTCCTCCACCAGAGATGGAGCCTTTTCCTCCTGAGCTTCCTCCTCCATACCCAGAGCTTCCACCACAGATTGACCCACCACCGCCAGAGCTCCCTCCTCCTCCACCAGAGATGGAGCCTTTTCCTCCTGAGCTTCCTCCTCCATACCCAGAGCTTCCACCACAGATTGACCCACCACCGCCAGAGCTCCCTCCTCCTCCACCAGAGATGGAGCCTTTTCCTCCTGAGCTTCCTCCTCCATACCCAGAGCTTCCACCACAGATTGACCCACCACCGCCAGAGCTCCCTCCTCCTCCACCAGAGATGGAGCCTTTTCCTCCTGAGCTTCCTCCTCCATACCCAGAGCTTCCACCACAGATTGACCCACCACCGCCAGAGCTCCCTCCTCCTCCACCAGAGATGGAGCCTTTTCCTCCTGAGCTTCCTCCTCCATACCCAGAGCTTCCACCACAGATTGACCCACCACCGCCAGAGCTCCCTCCTCCTCCACCAGAGATGGAGCCTTTTCCTCCTGAGCTTCCTCCTCCATACCCAGAGCTTCCACCACAGATTGACCCACCACCGCCAGAGCTCCCTCCTCCTCCACCAGAGATGGAGCCTTTTCCTCCTGAGCTTCCTCCTCCATACCCAGAGCTTCCACCACAGATTGACCCACCACCGCCAGAGCTCCCTCCTCCTCCAGAGATGGAGCCTTTTCCTCCTGAGCTTCCTCCTCCATACCCAGAGCCTCCACCACAGATGGACCCATGACCGCCAGAACCCATTCCCCATCCTCCAGTGCTTCTGCCTTTTCCTCCTCCAGAGATCGGCCCTTTGCTTCTGCCACCTCCAGAGCTCAACCCTCCCTTTACACCTTTCAAGCCTCCAGACTGTACTCCAAAGACTCCAGTAGCACTTGCATTGTGGTCAATGACACCTGAAAGAAATGGAAACGATGTCCACCTTAGTCTTTATACCCCAAAAATTATAACCATACATAAGTATTTATATCATCTGTGCTCATCGAGTCTCCTCTTGTGGTCATAGTCATGTCTTTGAAAAGGGGCTACAATGATCTTCATTTTAGTAGACGTACCTATGAAATGTTTTCTGATGTGGATCTGGCTTTATTAGATTTATCTTTTAGGTCAACACTCAGTGCAGCCCTTCCTGTAAGGCCAGGAGGTTTCTCTCTCCTTTAGCTGCCCTTCTATTCCCACAGTTTTTAGGATTAGATTTTTTTTTTTTTCAGTTCTGACATGTACCACAAAGACCTAGAGAAGAAGTGAGGTGTTCCCCACTTCCTACAAATTTGGCTGAAAATAGCCAATGATTTTCGAAGTCAGTAGCTAAGTGGTGACATATGAATCCATACACACTTGAATTCACACACACACACGCTCACGAGGGACTAACATTTGCTTCATTTTCCCAGGAAACTGGACCAGGGACTAAGAGAGGTGGTTCTGATGGTGGGTGTTAATTACCACAGACAAACAAAATGGTAACAATGCCCTTAAAGCAAAGCCTTGAGATACTCACAGATGGTGGCCGGGGAGCCTTCCTGTATCCTGTGAAGGAAAAGTGACATTGAGACAAAGAACCCAATAAAAATACAAGTCAGATGAGGCTCTACCAGTACACCAATGAAAGAGATCACACCTTCCAGGCAACAATTCGTCCTGGAGGTCTAAGTGATAGATCAAAGGACTGGGGACACTGCTTTGTACAGGTCCTTCTATCCAGGATGAATAGTTCATCCTTACCTGGCCTCCTCCTCCTCGAGGAGCGATCTGTACATGGCAATTTCAATATCCAGGGCCAATTTCACATTCAGCAGCTCCTGATAATCATGGAGAAGGCGAGTCAGATCATCTTTGGCCTCCTGCAGGGCATTTTCCAGCTCCTGAAGCTTTTGTTGGCCGTCTTTGATGGCAGAGTTCCCACGCTGCTCAGCATCTTTGATGGTTTCTTGGAGGCCAGAATTCTGGAGAGGGGACAAAGAGAATGTGTCCACTTCCCTTCTACGGGACCAGGATTGTCAAACCCTTCTGGCAGCCCTTGGAAATGAAAAGACCTGCCTCAACAACAGAAGGTACGTTAGACTGGGTAAATTAACCCAAATTAAACCCCAATATAGGGAGCCAAAATCGAGATCTGCTTCATTTTGAAGAGAAAACATCACCTTTAGGTTTGCCTCCAAAGGACAGGCTACGTTGTACTCCACCACATGGAAGTGACTTAGCTAATTTAGTCATGTTGGAAAGTATCAGCTTTACCTTTTTTTTCGCAATTTCAATTTCTTGTTGTATCCTTTGGACCTGCCTGGTGAGTTCCTGGATTTCCTGGTAACTGCCCCGCAGTTGCTCGCGTTGATTTACCCACATGTTCTGGAGGTCCTGGTACTGATGTGCAGAGAAGAGAAGAGATATTTTTGATTTCTTTTCCATCAAGGAGACAGATTTGCCTCCCTGTCTTGTTGGTGTCTACTCACCCTGCCCTGATACATGGCATCTACTTCAGCTTTGCTTCTCTGAGCAATTGCCTCATATTCCTGCCTGACTTCTTCAATGATGCCGTCCATATTGAGTTCTCTGTGGTTGTCCATGGACAGAATGACATTGGTGTTGCCAACTACTGTTTGCAGCTGGGACAGTTCCTGCAAGGAAAACAAGATTTTTGGACTTTAGCAGTTCACGTGAGCAGTCTGGGTCGTGTTATGAGGGAAGAAATGGCACCCTCTGGCCAGTTACCCACTGGAACTCCCCTTCCTGCATCCCCCAGGTCCTACTGTTCACCACCAGTGTTAATTTTCAAGTGTCTCTTCCAACCTTTGTGACACACCAAACCCTCTTTTCCCCCATGGATAAAAAAGGAACTTGGAAGATCAAAGGCCAAGGATGATCCACTCTCCACACCAAAAAAAAATCCTGTTCAGGCAAAATTTCTGGGAACCTTCAAAAGATACAAGTCCTTCAAGACCTGAGGGTAAGTTTTTCACCTGAGAAGGATACTCACAGCTTCGTGTAGGCACCTGAGGAACTCAAGCTGCTGCTTCAGTATTTCCACCCGAACATCAAACTCCATTTTTCCCATGTAGGCACTGTCTAGTTCCTGTTTAAAACAAAACAAAACAAAACAAAAAAGCCATAGGCATATTTGTGGAATTCTTGCAAGACTTGGTACATTTCTTTAAAGCCTTCACTCTTGGGGTGAAACAATGGCCTACGAATCTCAGATTTCCTTTGAAAAGCAATTGGAACAAAGAGAAATTTTTTGACTCTTAGAAGAAAAGAATGGTTTGGAAATAAGCAAAATGGTTGCGGCAGAACATGGAAACATAGATTGCATTAATTCTCCTAATAAAAAGTTGAATAAATTTTCTATTCTGCCACCTAAGCCACCTGTAGACATTATTTAACACCTAATAACAGTGTCTCTCCTGGGTTGTGATTGAGTGACTAGAGAAAGACCACTTTTTAGATATTCATCTCACAAAGGACTGATTCGGGCTCTAGAGAAATTATTTCTCTCTGGTCTTACAGTTAAAAGCTTAGGTTTTCAATTATTTCTGTCAAAGTTAAGCAAAGACCTTGCTTTTGAAAACCTCAGCATCCACCCATTTATTGCTCTATTTCTGAGTCTCTGGTTTAGCTTTGTTCTTGGATTACTCCACCTTTTTAAGCTCCACAAACTCCTCCTCTGTAGATGCGCGTTTGTTGATCTCATCCTCGAATCTGTTGCAGCAGAGAAAAGAGAGAGGCAGTTCTTATTTTTTAGTCAAGTGGAACAGAAACCAAAAGGAATCATCCAAAAGAAAATGTGCTAAGTTTTCATTTAACTGCCGTTTCTGGCAACTGCAAAGACAACTGCAAAACTATGGGCTAAATTATGGAACAAAGTGGGATAGAAATAGATCAGTTCCAACACGTAATTCTGAATGAAACCCCATTTTTCAGAGCTCTGGACATATATTATCTTCTGGGTGCAGCTAAGCCAGAAGAAGTGATGACTCTTCTCAACTTCACCCCACTGCTCAGCTCTGCCCCTCCCCACACAACTGGTAGTTGACCACAACTACCAGGAGGAGTAAGGAGTCCTGGGCTACTCATTGCTTGGGGGAGGAAGGCCATGAAGGAGGACAGGAGGAGGGAATCATAGAATATCAGGTTGGAAGGGAGCTCAAGGATCACCTGGTCCAACCTTTCTTGGCAAAACCCAACATTTCTTGGGAAAGCAAAGGAGAGTGGGGTACATCTGTGGGGTTTTTGATTTTCTTCTCACTGCTCCGGATTATACCCTCACCAAATCTGCTTTAGTCTTCCAACATCAAAGTCAAGTCCCATAGTGAACCTGCTGCAGATTAGTGCTATAATGGCTACAAAACTCTTGGAGGTGAGAAGCTGAGCTGTCCCAGAGCATGATTATCAGCGCCTTGGAAAATTCCAGCATGCCTTTTCCCAGAGAAGCTGTGGCTGCCCCATCCCTGGGTGGGTTCAAGGCCAGGTTGGACAGGGCTTGGTGCAACCTGGGCTGATGGGAAGTGGCCCTGCCTAGGGCAGAGGGTGGAATGAGATGAGCTTTAAGTTCCCTTCCAGCCCAAACCATTCTGTGATTCTATGACTTGTGATTATTCACCTTTTTTTATAATCTTCAACCAGATGAAGCATATTATACGCTTCGGGATCCAGCTGCTCCTTCTGGTTCTGGAGCATTTCCAGCTGCCTCTGCAGGTTGCTGATGTAGGATTGGAAGAAAGAGGTGATATTTCTGCTCTCTTCTGGTCGTGTGCTTTGTTGCTGCAGAAGTTCCCATTTGGCCATCAAGGCCTGGTTCTGCCGCTCAAGACATTGAACCTGAAAGGCAGAGCAGAAGAACATCTCAGCCACTAGAAAGCTCTGAGGGAAACACAGTCCCTACAGCAAATCTAATCTCAATCAATATTTCCAGCCCAGTAACATCTAGAGGTTTCATCAGGTGGGACCAACGCACGAGAGAGCTTAGACTAATGGGGGGACACCTCTTTTTTCCCCAATCTGCTGCATAATTTTTACTACTGCTTCTCAAAGTTGATGCTTAAATCTTCGCTGGCTTTTCAGTTGTTGAATTCACAATATTTAAGGGGGTGATTGGGGTGGAAGGAGACTTCACATGTTTCCGAAGTACCTTGGACACCCAAACACATGAGAAGAGTTCACCCCCTCTCAGAAGACCACACAGGACCTCTCCCTAGCTTTATCTTGCCTTAGAGAAGGTCAGAAAGACCTGTAACAAGCAGAGACGGTATTTTTGGAAAACCAGAAGGAGAGCACCTCTCCAGCTGGGATGCTGAACTGGTTGTGACCTGGCAGCCAACATCCAGAAGGTTTAAGGAAAAAGGAGTCAAAAATTTTTCAGGACTAAGCCACGCTTAAAACTTCTGGGTGCAACCAACACCTTTTCTGTAGGCTGATACAAGAAGCCCTTAATTCTTCACACGTAACAAATACTAAAAGTTTCCACCCCACGCAGAGACACATGTCACCACCCAAACAGAGGCACATGTCAGGTCTGTGTGGGTGGAAGCAGTTTTGAGGATGTTGTGTTCCTGTGTCTGTGAGTAGAAAGGAATGAGAAGCTAAAGCTGCAGGCAGAGGTGAAAGCATTGTAGCATCAGCCAAAGAAAGAGGTCAAGAAGAAAGACGTGGGGGCCACTAGCCACGCAAAAGAGGCTGGGACCTCCAAGCAAAGAACTGACTTCTTGTTTTGTAATTTGGAGAAATGCAACATTTTCCTTCACTTGAGAAACAGAAACACATCAAGGATGTCCAAGTCCCTCACCCATTTCTCCTGCTGGCACCAAGAATTCTCAGCCCTCGGACCATTTCTAACCACACGGAAACCTTCCTCCTCAAAAGAGAGGTGAGTCAATGTGTTAGTGACATCCCAGCAGTTTGCTATTGTCCTGCCATAAAAGATGACTCGGAGATACTTATCCCAGGGCTAAATGCAACTCACGCAGCAGTGTTTATAGCAAGCTATTAAGACTTTTAACACCAGCATAAGGGAACCCGGCCAACGCTGTGATTTTGGGGGGGGAGAAGATGCAATGTGAAGGTGTCCCCGTGTCTCACACCAACAGAGCAGCATCCCTTGTATTTCCCCCTTTCCCAGATAACAAGTGGTAAAGAGAACAGGGACTCACCTTATCGATGAATGATGCAAATTTGTTGTTGAGAGCCTTAATCTGCTCTTTCTCATCTGACCGCACCCTCTGGAACTCAGGGTCAACTTGCACTTGGATTGGCCTCAGCAGGCTGGTATTGACGTGGACCTCCTCGATGCCTCTGCTGACACCAGCCTGCCCATAGCCCTGGCCAGCCCCTTGTTCACCAAAGGCACTTCTACCAAGGCTTCCTCCAAATGCCTCCCTGCCTGAACTTCCTCCATACGTGGTACCAAGCCCTGCTTCCCCACCTTGAAAGGCTCCTACAAAATATCCTCTCCTACCAAAGCCCCTGTCAAGGTACCTCCTTCCACCAAATCCCAGGCACCTTCCATATCCTCTTTCTTCTCCTCCGTAGCCTCCACCAGCAAAAACATTCCTAAACCCACCAAGGTTGTGGAGGCTCCTGCTGCCATAACCATACCCATAACCACCGTATCTTTCTTCTCCTCTGTTGTCTTCACAGTAGGTGGATAAATTTCTCCCACCACCCAGCGTGCCACAGTGAGCAGAAGAAGAACTGAAATTCCCATCCCCAAATCTGAAGAAACGGTGGCTCATGGTGTCCCTTTCAGAGCGTTAAAAGATGAGAGAGCAGGTGGGGAAGGTTGTTACACGGGAGGAGAAATGAGCTTGAAGGATCCTCTGCTCCTCTGGTGGGGGTGATGGAAGTTCTCCTTTATACTTTCTGGAGGAGTTAGTCTCCATTCCGTGGTAATTAGCAGGTCTCTTAATGTTGTTATTGGGTTTGGTTCATCAGGCAGCAATTAATGGCCGCCCGAAGAGAGGTCAGAGTAAACACCACTCACCAATGGAGTAATTGTGAAAGTCCCCAAATCCTGCCTGACTCATGAGCTTTGCTCAGATGAGATCTCCTTATCTCATTAGCCTGCCCTCCATCATTAATTACAGCTCGCACAGTTATCCGTGCACATTACCATGGTTTGTGCTCTCAAAATTCCCCACCTCTTTTGGTATGTCATTCGGTGAGACACAAGGCCTCGATATTGTCCTCATATTGACTTGGGGGTGGCTCACCTTGCTTCACCGTGCCACCAGGAGAACCTCCTACAGAAAGAAGCTCCCTTAGCTCCCCATTCTCCATTTTCCCCCATTCCCAGTATATCTGCCCATGACTGGGTGCTTCTTCAGGGAGAGGGAAGGTGGTGTGATCTGCTCTTCTTGCTAATGGCATTATAAAAAATTAAATCTATCTGCCTTTGCTTCATAAAGCTGAAATAGTGTCTAGAAAACAGAAAAAAAAATGAATCTCCTTCTATGAATTTTAGCTTTAAATAAATGGACACAGAGGCTTAAATGGAACAGAGAAAAGTCTGAGATAAACGTTAATAAATTAAACCAAACATTTAAGTATTAAAGGTTAAGGTGCGGTCATCTTAGGGGACAGAAGACCCATCACTTCCATATACCAGGACTCTTGGCCCTTCCACTACGACTGCTCCTCCTCTCCCAAGTGGGGGTTGTTAGAACTGAAACTACCTGTTTGTGGGTCACATTTTTAAAGGCCACTAGACGCTGAGATGTCAAATACAGAGTTGGGCTCCAAGCTTTTCTACCCAGGTTCTCCCACTGAGCATCTGCCTGGTCCATCCCTCTTTCCTCTCCTCGTCTCCCTGCAGGACTCCACCTCTCCAGCCTGAGCACACCCTGGCGCAAGATGTGATGGCCATGGACTCACGAAAAGGCATTTGGGAGTCAATTCCTGCTGCTGACAATGGCACTAAGAGCCTTCAGCCTTGACTACCATCTCCAGAAGACAACTGAGAGCTGGTGCATGCTCTCCAAAGGCTGTGGTGGAACAATTTCCACATGGCAAACAGCTTCCCTTTGTCCCCTACACGCAACAGGTTTCACCCAAAGGGATGTTCTTCCTTCCAAAGGGGCAGGGTGAGGCCACACCAGGAGCCCTTCAGTTGTATAGAGGTTTTGTGGTCGGGGCTTCATAACCTCCATTGAGAAAGTGCCTCATAATTCGCTTAAATGAAAGGTTTGTGGAGAGAGGCAGGAGCTGTTATTAGACCAGCTGATGTATCTAGAAGCAGAGATTTTGGGCACTCAATGACCAGATGAAAGGCTTTTTCCAGCAGTAGACACAAGATTTTCCAGACAGCTAGGAAAGAAGTTCTACTCTTCCCTACCAAACTTGGTCTCTTGAAGCCTTACACTGGGAACGGCCAACTGGTGGCCCGGACCTTCCATTCCAGCTACTTTTTTTTGTAATTAAACTTTGCCAGTTACCTACATTTTACTAAGAATTTAAACCAAATTTCCTAACTGATTTTCCCCTTCATATATAAAAAAAACCCAAAACTGATTTTGACTGGGAATTGTGTGTCCCACTGGAAAGAATAATTATGGTGAACACTAAAAATGTGTCATGTCCAGGATTTCAATGTGAGTGGGGGAAATCTGGACACAGATCCACTTTGACACGTCTGGGTAAGGTTTACCAAAAGATAAGGATTTTACACAATATCTTTCCTGTATGGTTTTAATTGGGGTCAGTATCTTCTAGCTGCTGGTGCGTCTCAAGAGAAACCAGTGTAACTTGTCCTCCTTCGCTCCCATATTTTCGGTCAAGCTGAAAGATGCTTCCAGAACTGTATCCACTCCCTGCAAAATCCTCTGTAGGACAAACCGTGTCCAATCAATGCCGAGATTGAAACTTCCATGTGACCTTGGAGCTGTTATTAGGCTCAGGTAAGGATTAGGAGGACAAGGCATGACTTCACGTCAGGAGGAGATGAGACTCCATGGACATGACCCGTGATTTTCCATGTGAGGTCTGAACTAAAAGAGATGAACTGACAATTACTTGACAACACACAGAAGAGTTTCTAAGGCATTGCTGGTTTTCACCCGCCTGTTGAGTTTGTGAACAGCTACTTTGGGTGCAACTCATCTTCATCCCTTCTCTTTCCATTGTGAGTGGCTCATTCCAACGCACGCTGCGCCAGACAATACTCAGGACCATCCACATGGATATTGGAAGGAAGCGTTATGACCCAGGGGAGGGAACACCCACAGACCAAACGATCCGGCTCTGTGCAGCAGAAATGTCTATCCAAAAATCGCTGCCCTAAATACATACATCAACCCGCTGCATGGAGCAAAGGGGGTGGCAACTCGTGCAGAACCAACTGCAGCGATCAGAGGTGGCCGCGTCCCGCTGGAGAAGGCCTCCTGCAAACCTTCCATGAGATGAGGAGCCACCCCACCTCCACGTGCCGCGATAATCCCGAGCGTGTGGGCTGCTGTTGCGATCGCCGCTGGCACCGGCTCGGCCTTGGCACAACAGACCAAGCCACACCTGAACCTGTCGAGCTGGCTCCAGACCTGGCAGTGCATCCAGAGGGATGTCCATGCATCCTGTGGATGAAGGTGGAGGGAGCTTCCTGTGACACCTTCCTCTTTCCTGGCGTCACTCTTGGATGCACTGGGGGAACTTCTGCTGCCCCTGATCCTTCAAAAGAAAGAGCAAAACAGTTCCCAACATGCAGGAAGAGATGCTGAGGAGAGAACAAAAGGAAGAGAATTTTCAAAAAACCTTGTAATGGCAGGGGGGAAAAAAAGTGAATTGCTGATATTCTACCAAAGATGGGAGGGCTTTGTTGATGGGTTGGTACAAGTGGGTACTGCCTCCAGCTGGTTGGAAACAGGTTTTGGGGGGGGAAATGTCCTTTTACCTTTGGTAAAGGGAAGCATTTTGGGGATATGCTGTGGTCAAATTGCAGAGGATCAGGGTGGGGGCAAGGACGAGAGGTGAGGGGGCAGACCTGGCCACTCCAAACAAGGTGAGCTCCATGAAGAGGAACTTGGTGCAGGACCTGTCATTGCCTTCTCTATCAGGAGCTGCTCCATAATACAAGGAAGCAACTGGTGGACCATGGTGTTTCAGATGAGAAGAGGCAACAGCACATCTCTGCTTGCATAGGAGAGGATTCTTCTTGAGTAGAGTAAGGACAACAAGTAGAATAAGGTGGAGACCAAGAAGTGGAGTGGGAAGTGATGGAAAGCCTGTGAGGAGCAAGGAGAGCTAACCCTGGAGCTACAAACCTCTCCTCGACCTGGCTGTGAGCCTGCGTAGTGGCTTTAGAATAGACCTTTGACTGTGAGAAAGCCAGGGTAAGGCAGGATGAACTCTACCTGGAGCGGGACAGGTCCCCTTCTTCCAGGGGTAGGTCCCTTCCCACCGTGGTCTTGCCTGTTGGGGACACTTGGAGTGGGGCAAGGGGTGGACTGCGATAAGGCTTGGTTTTAGCCTCAGGTCTGGACCAGCAGCTGTTCTTCTGATACAAAACACAGCATCACTCTGCCTTGAAAACCCGTTAACAAAATGACCAATGGCTATTTTAATAAATAGATAATTATTCTGGGTTAACAGGAAGGTAAACAAGTCAATAACTTGCTTATAGCCACCTATAATATTAAATTGTCTATTCAGAAAATACTAATCATAATTATGATATCTGTTAATCTCCTATTTCCCCTGCAAGAATGTGAAAGTATCAATTTAGCATAACGTGTAAAAATAGTAAAGTAATTTCTCTATTGCTGTTATTATTCACAGCTACAGTGAACGGATGAGGTAGAAATGAGGTAGAAGCTTATTCTTTTTTTTTTGACTTTATTGGCTAACCCAATGCAAAACACCCTGCTCTCTGATCCCTGACAGCTCCTGGAGGCTGAGCAAGTCCTGGTTCCTCCACACGCAGCAAACCTGCAGCTGATGCCCCGGAGCTGGGGCGTGTGGAGCTAGAGCAAGGCAGAGATGGAATCTCCAAAGGGTTTCAGGAGGAGGAGAAATACGGCGTGCAGAAAAAAATAAAAGAAAAAAAAAAGAAAAATGAGGATGAAGAGGAAACTGGGTTGAACTTTAGGTTAAATGCACCCGGTGTCATGAGAAAACATGACTTTTTTTCCCTTTGTGCAGCCGCTCCCCAGCAGAAAAATAGTCAAGGCACATGGCACCTGTGATAAAAATAGAGGAATAATATTATTGGATTGGACATGAGGAAAAAATTATTTATTTAGACTGGACATCAGGAAAAAATTCTTCACAGAAAGCGTGGTCAGTCACTGGAATAGGCTGCCCAGGGAGGTGGTCAAGTCACCATCCCTGAATGTGTTCAGAGTCATTTAGATGCAGTGCTGGGGGATATGGAGTAGGGGAGAACTTTGTAGAGTGGGGTTGATGGTTGGACTCAATGATCCCAAGAGTCTTTTCCAACCTGAACGATTCTATGATTCTATATTCGGGCAGCTTCATGATCAAGATCTAAGTGGGAATAAGCAAAGGGAGCTGCTGAAACTTCAGTAGTTGGCACCAGCAACCAGAGCTCCCAGGAATGGTCTGAGAGTTGGGGACTTCAGGGACCACTTCCAGGAGGAGCCCAGGACAAGCAGATGAACCCCCATCTGGTCCTACTGTGGCGCGGTTCATCTGGTCCAACCACCCATGGTGGGGTTCATCTCACTGCTCTGGACCCACTGAAGCTGTGGGGAGGGAGGGAGAGGCTGGGCTCACCTGAAGCCCATCC